TCAGCATAGTCTGGATTCATAAGACATTGCGAGAAGACTGTGCCAAAGTTGCATTATTTGCATCATCTCTCAGCCAAGAAGGTTAAACCCCAGCCTCAGAAGCATTAGCCTTGCTTGACTATGGCCGATTTTTCCCTTACCTGAGCATAAATGTTTGACAGCCTATAAAAGAAGCTGCGGACTGACAGGCAGCCCATGCTGAAATAGGGGCTCAGGCCGGTGGTGCTTGGAAGCAGTGAATTTGGGACTGTTTTCGGCTTGGTGAAACTGGCCACCCAGCCCTGAAATGAGAACAGAAATCAAGGTTCAGGCAGAGCAAGGTGAGAAATGTTCAGCCAATGGACAGGGATGGGCTCTTGGCTGTTGGCTCATGCATGTGCAACACACCCATGGAAAATACTCCGACCACAATCCTCCCATCAAGAACAACAAAATCCCGAGGTGGAGCTGCTTGGAGGGCAAATCCTCAGCAAGAACTGGAGGCCACAGCCAACTGGTTTCTCGCAGTCCAGCCCCAACCACGCGCCATTGGATGGCACCAACCTCAGCCCACCCGCACAACCATCAGGACAGACCTGGTCTGCCAGGTGCTGCTCCAGGCGCTGCAGCCCTTCGCTCTCCCCTCCTCTCCATGGGGAGATGCTCTCAGGGGGGATCTTCAGATCCGTGGGCAGAGGGACCCTGTAGCACTCAGCCAGGCCCAGCTCAGGGGGGCTGCACCTCCTAATGTGAAAGAGAGAGAACCAGAGCCAAGAGAGTTTGCCAGACCCCATTCACACACCCAGACCTCCTCTGTTGTGGCACAGGGGAACCAGAGCACAGCCAGAAACCCCAAGCTGAATCCTTCGTAGGGGAGAAGGAGCCCATCAGAGCCAGAATCCAAGGTTGGAGAGCACCAGGATGCGGTGAAAGAGACCTGGAATTCCTTGGCCTCTCCTCTGCTCAACCTTCATATGCACGAAAAGTTTGTCTCAATGCACCCTACAGAAGCCTTCAGACTGTGCCACCCTCACCTGCTCTCCTCTCCCGACAGTGGGATCACATCAATAACCCTCCACACAAAAAAGCAACGCAACGTCATGACTGAAAGTCACTGTCATCATTTGACGCCACTCATTTGGGCAGAGGAAGGCCCTGCAGGTCCCCTGTTGGGTCTCACTTACTGGAAGTCCTCAGCTGTGAGATTTCGGACTGGCATCTCCGGGTCCCCGAGCAGGGACAGGATGTGAAGGAACCTCTTGTACGTCAGCGGGGGAGTCCCACCATTCAGCTCCAAAATCCTACGCGTAAAATAAAATCAGTGCTTGTGGTAACATGGATCAAGAAGGAAACTGGAGCTGTGTGTGGATGCGCGGGGAGGTGACAGCACAGTAACAGCCCCAGCCTGTGGAGCAACAACCAGTGGGAACAGATGGTTTGGATTCAAGATGGAACACCACATCCATCCTTGTGTTCACACCAAATAAGGGCTTTTCAGGGTGAGGGGTTAAGGCTGTTTTAATGAATACCTCCCTATCATTATTAACTTCAATATCTGCAGGCTTTCAGCTGTGAATAACTGCGTGGACCCACAATGACCCACACACCAGTGAAAGTTGATCAGATAGATCCCAAAAGGCAGACAGAAGGATGCGTACAGAAGTCCTTTTGAATGTAGGACCATAGAATCATCAAGGTTGGAGAAGACCCTCAGCTCATCCAACCATCAGACCATTCCCATGCGCTAGTGAATTTCTCCTGCTGTTTGAGAGTAGTCAGTGGAAGGGCTTAAAGTGAATTAAGCTGCCCACAGGGGAAAAAATAACAAATTCCTCAGGCTCCAATTAGAACCAACATCCTGTGCAACCGCTGAAGCTTCTTCTGCCAACTCGGAATTCTCCAGCAGCCAGTGCCACTGCCTCAGAGAGCCCCACCTTCTCAAAAGGAACTCATCAGAGGAACTGAGATCCTCAGCCTTTCCTCCATGATGTTTGCTAAACGTAAAACAAGCCTTTCGGAGATGCCTTGCTGGTCTGTAGGGCAGCCACGTACCGTTGGGTGTCGTAGAGGCTGTGGCCCATCAGTGAGAGCACCTCGAAGCCCAGCTCTTCTCCCAGAGCCCGAATGTTGGCCTCCATCTCCTTGTAAAAGGGCTCCATCTCCGCATCCAGAGTCACCTGTGTGATGTTCCACTTCTGGACGTGATCTCTGACTACAGACTCGTACTCTCCTTGAATGACCAGCAAGCAGGAACCCAGCTGGCACAAACTGCTCCTCAAATCCTCCAGGGATTGCAGCAGGAAATGCCACCGCAGGGCTCCTATGTGCATGGCGGACGTCATGAAGGCTCTGTCCAGGATGTAGACGGGGTAGACGACCTCAGAGGATTGCAGTGCAGCCAGCAGAGTTGGGTTGTCGTGCAGCCGGAGGCCCTTCCGGAAGAGGTGGATGGTGCGGTGCTGCATCCTGCCCACAGCTGTGGGAAGGGAGAAGAGAAGGCTCTGGAAAGATCTTATTGCACCAGTGGTCATCGTGGGCAGTTGGGCAGCAAACCCCCACAGGTCCCTTCCAACCCCCGTGGCTCTGATTCTGAGATCTGCCCCTTCCAACCTCGGCCATTCCACGATTCTACATTTGCTTGGAGAGTGCAGCATCCCCATGAAGGAATGAGGGCAAGTGATGGCCAGAAACAGAGCTCCTAACACTGCTCAGCTCTGTTTGCAGCAATCTTTTCTGTTTTTTCATAAGCTCTCATGGGAGAGAAAGGACCAAAGTCCTGTGAACACAGCAGGTCCCACTGCTCAGCAGCTGAGTCCCGTGCTCACAGGGTTCTCCCCACACTTATAGATTGACAGAATCATTAAGGATGGAACTTCTCATCTCTCCAAGCCCAACCCCACCCCACTGTGCCCATAGAAACATCCCTCAGTGCCACAGCTCTGAACCCCACCAGGGACACTGACCCCGTCTGTGCCAACACATCGCTGCCCTTTTGGAGAAGAAATGGCTCTCAAAAACCCAACCTGATCCTCCTCTGGAACAACACGAGGCCGTCACCTCTCATCCATCGTTACCCTTTGAAGCATTGCAGCTGACCTGAGGGCTGCAGCTGGGGGAGCTCAGGGCAGCTCACAGGGATGCACTCAGGGAGCAGCAGCGAGCAGCAGCAAGGAGCCCTGCCTCCCCCTGGGTTTGTGCCAACCTGCTTCTTGTTCCAAGCACCCACCCAAAGAATCAGAAGACAGTGGATGAGCACGGGATGAAGCAATTATCTCTAACCTGCTTCAGCTCCTCCCAGCAAAACTCCCTTCCTACACCCTCCTAAATGGCCGCAGTGCTGACGCAGCTCTGCCAACCTCACGCTGTGCCCAAAAGCACACCTTGGCATCGCCGAGATGCACCCAGCGCAGCCCCAGCTATAACACAGCCCACTGAGCGCCCCACAGACCCAAACCCACAAACTCACAGGCACTGAGGAGCTCACGGAGAGCACCAGGAAGGAGCCCAGCACCGACTGCACGCCACGGAAGAACAGGAAAAGCAAAGTGCCAACGCCTGGGGAGCACCCAGCTGGCACGTGGGGCATGGAATCACGTGTAGTGTGCAGAGCAGGGAGTCTGCAAGGGCTGCTCTGAGCACCACGGCCCCATCTTCAGGTTTGGATCAGATATTAGGCGAAATTCCTTCTCTGAAAGAGCAGTCAGGCACTGGCATGGGCTGCCCGGTGGGATCACCATCCCTGGAGGGGCTCAAGGAACGTGGGATGCGGCACTGAGGAACGAGGGCAGCCAGTATGGTGGGATGGTTTGGAAATCCATGCGTCTGTGCAGTGATTATTGCTCAGATATTGCCCTCTCATGGCCAGAAGACCAAAAGCACCTATCAAACACACATCGCTAATTACTATGGAATACCCCGAGCTGTAAGGGACCCACAGGGATCACCAAGAGTTAAAGACACATTGCTGGTTGTGTTCTCCTTTCCGGGAGCTTTTTGTAGGGATGAACATCACAACCCATGGGTGCCCTCCACACCTCAATGCGTTCAGCCATCACTTTTTGTGATACGACACAAGCCTGAGTTTGCTAATTAAATATCACCAAGTTCTGATGAGTCAAGTTATCATCAGAGTCGGCTGATGGGTGTTGCTGTCCCTTGAGCTCCGCCCTGTTGCAGATTGGGCTGAACGGTAATTAACGCTAATTAACGAGGTGCCTTTTTTCAAGGTGCTCCTCTGCTCAAAGCCAGGTCGGGTCCCTGCACGGTGCCCCATGGAATCACGTTTCTACACTTCACAAGTTGGCTGCTCCGAAAGTAATGCCTCCTGTTTATTTTCATGGCAATCCCAACAGCTGCAAGAAGCACAATCACACGTGTTGACGGAGCGACTTCTCAGCTACAAAACTTCATTTCTTTGCGCTATTTGCACGGGTACCCCGATAGATAGAAGCAAAATTTTGGGTCTGAGGACCTGGGGCTGTCGTCACCCCACGGAGCCAACGCACAGCGCTCCTCCCCGCTGCTCCCTCTGCACTGAGAGCGCGACAACAGCGCAACGGCACAGCGCTGCACGCACACAGCCCTGCGCCCGCACCTCGGGGCTGTGCGGCGGAACCGTCACCAAAAGGACACCTCGGGAGTGACACAACACCGCCCCCGGGGCCCCGCGTTACCTCCCCGCTCGGAGCCGCGGTAGTCACCTCCCTCCTCCTCGTTTTCGTCCTCCTCGGGCCCCGCTGCCCCAGTTTCCCCGCCTGGCCCTGGGGTGACACGCAGCGCTATTCGACTTTAGGTCACGGGGCCGCTTATGCAACGCACAGCGGGAGGGAGGGGGGGGGGGGGCACCGGGGGCCGGCAGGGCTGCGCCCGCCCTGCGGAGCTCCCACGGAGGCGGGGAGCGGGGTGGGACATCGGGACACGGCACAACCCCTGCCGGCACGGCACGGCACGGCACGGCACGGCACGGCACAGCACAGCACAGCACAGCACGGCACGGCACGACTCCTGCCGACCCGACCCGACCCGACCCGACCCGACCCGACCCGACCCGGAGCCCCGCGCAGCCCCGCACTGTGGGCGTGGTCTCTGTAAGCCAGGCCCCCATTGCGCGATTTTTCCCTCCTCGCGGGGCGTGGCTTATTTCCCGCCAGCAGATCTCCGCCAATAGTCGCGCGCCTCCCCTTTCGGATTCGAAATGCCGCCTCTGAGGAGGAGGAGCTAGGCGGCGCCCAATCAGCGCTCGTATCTTCGGTAGGGGGCGTGGCTAATCGGCAGCGTCTCCTCCCGTTGCTAGGCTACAGCGGAAGTCCCGCCCCTCGCGGTGAGCGCTGTGGTGAGCGGGGCGGCGGGGCGGCGGGCGCGAAGGGTCCTGGGGAGGGTGAGTGGGGGGCGATCGGCTGGGAGGGGGCGGCCCTCGTTTGATGGGGGTCATTGGGTTTAGTGGGGGCGGGAGGCGTTGGGGCGCGCGTGGGGTTACATGGGCAGCAGTTATGGGGGGGTCGGCCATTGAGGTCGGCCTGGGGGAGGGTGAAGTCAAAGGACCCCAATGCGGGGTGAGTGGGGTGAGGGAGCCCTGCCCCATTGCGGGGGGTGGGAGCCGGGCATGGTGTGACAGCGCGTCACCGAGTGCCCCGCAGCTGGGGGTCGGAACGAGGTGATCCTTAAAGCCTCTCCCAACCCAAACCTTCCTCCGCGTTCCTTAAGGGCGGCTGAAGAAGAGCCACAATGCAGAGAGCATCGCGGCTGAGCAGGGAGCTCGCAATGCTGAGCGCGGAGCCGCCGCCCGGCGTCAGCTGCTGGCAGAGCGGAACGCGGCTGGATGAACTGCGGGCACGTAGGTGGGGGGGAGCCGGGGGGGGAGAGCCGTGAGGGGGGGAGCTGTGGGGTTGGATGTGGGGACCTCAGAGGTCCTCTCCAACTCTGAGGGTTGTTTGTTACAGAGCTGTGGGTGCGCGGGGGGATGGTTGGATGAATTCCTGTGATTTTGAATGTATTTATGCTCCAGTATTGTTTTGTTTTTAAAGAAATTATAGGAGCTGCAGAGACACCCTATGAGAAAGGGATATTTGACCTGGAGATCGTTGTTCCTGAAAGGTAAGCGAGTGATGATCACTTATGCCATGTAGTTGTTATTCCTGCTGGCTGAACGGTGCACTCCTTGCTGGGCATCCCGAGATGTGTGGTGAATGACCTGCAGGTGCTGTAACAAGACTTCTGCACCGGTTGTCCCAAAGCTCCCTGGAGAGCAGCTTGTTCTGAGTGCAGAGCTTCCTGCTGTGTTTGCTTCTTTGTGGGAGGAGCAGGGAAATGCTGGCCAAGCACAGCTGGAAGCAAAGCTCTGCTTCGTCCCAGGATTACAGGGAGAGGATGTCACTCAGTAACTGCGAGGGATTCATGGCATTACTTGGGTGACAAAATGACTGGGGTACAAATACAGTTTTGTTTCTCAATGCTGATCCCTTAAAGGTACCCATTTGAGCCCCCGAAGATTCGATTTCTGACCCCTATCTACCATCCTAACATCGACTCTGCTGGAAGGATTTGTCTGGATGTTCTTAAGTTACCACCAAAGGTAAGAGAGCACTGCTTGGGCGCAGTAAGTGAGCCTGAGGAGGATAATGAGCTCCTTATCTTTTTCTTGTAAAAGCCTGATTGAATGTCTGTTTGCTACTGACTTATTTACGCAGGAGCGCAGCCGTAGAGTTTTTGTGTGGCCTCTCCTTTGTTTAGAGATTAGAACACGACCTTCTTTGCTCCATATAAGCTTCCAAGGCTTTAAGGATTGTGGTGGAAAGGCAGCCCTCTGAAAATGGGCCGCCCCAGCTGAGGCACAGCCCAGGGCTCCGTCAGCTCCCCCAGAGAGGCCTCAGCCTGCGTGCTGAGAGCAAACCGTGGGGCTCTGAGCCCTGAGTTTCCTCCAGGTATCCCCAGGGTTTTCCTCTCAACTGCTTCTCTCCCCCTCTCCTCCTGCAGGGTGCGTGGAGGCCCTCCTTGAACATCTCCACGCTGCTGACCTCCATTCAGCTGCTGATGGCGGAGCCCAACCCCGATGACCCCCTCATGGCAGACGTAGTATGTGGGCTCCTCTGAGGCTTTGGGAGCTGTGGGATGGGCTGGGGAGCAGCGGTGCCTTTGCTCAAGCAAACTAAAGCGAGCAGCAGAATGGTGTGCTTTGTGTGGTGTGTGCATGGCAGTTTGGTTCTGGCACCAGGAGTCCTTCAGCCAGGACTCTGAAGGGAGTTTATAAACCCCCAGCGCTCAGCCTGAGCTTCTCAGTGTCTGTATGAGGCCAAGGCTTCCTCATTGTGTTTAGTCCTCAGAGTACAAGTACAACAAGCAGCTGTTCTTGATCAATGCCAAGGAGTGGACTGAGAAATACGCAAGCCCACAGAAGAGGGTAAGAAATGGGCTTTCCTTTTCTAGCTGTGTGGGTGCTCCTCACCTCAATTTGCCTTCTGTGCCCACAGCTTGGAGGGGGAGAGGTGGTGCAGGGAACAATCATTGCTCCCCCATGGAAATGAGGCAATGAGGCACCCGGTTGCAGCTTCCCAGGAAGTTTGTAGGATGAGCAGCACTGATGGAATCCTGAGATCCCCTTTGTTCTGCCTCAGCTCTGCCCAAACTGCACGACCTGCTGTGGCAGTGCCTCGTGCTCAGCTTCTCCTGCACATCAGGAGAGCTCTGCAGCTGATCGCTCTCCCAGCTGCTGGTGGAGCACAGCCTTCCTGCCATCACTTTGTATTTCCCTGCCTCTGTTCCACATCCTGATCCACCTCACAGATGAGGAGCATGGAAGTAAACTGCATTTAAGCAGATCAAAACCTGTTCCAAAGAATCAATTACGTTTGGGCCGTCTCTGTTACCTGAGTGCTTTCCACCCCGTACCTGATTTGCACAGCATCCTTTCCAGGAGGGGGAAGGCTTTCTAATCACACAGAGATGGGAATTAACACAGCAGTGCTAATTACATAAAACTAAATTATTCACAGCTGTTACTTTTTATTTCTTTGGAGGCTTTGGAGGAGAAAACAAACCAGAATGAAACAAAAACCACCAATGAATCTGTCACACAAAAAAGAAAAGGGAGCACTGTCAGCAAGAAGGAGAAGAAACCTCGCCTGGATCCCTGAGTGACTTTTGTTCCTGATGTGGCTGCCAGCTTTGCTTTCACTGGGTCCTTTTTTCTTTACATGAGTAAATATTTTAATATGTAATAGAAGCAGCCTTTATTATTTCTGTTTCCTAGGAGTTGGTTCGTTTGTTTGTTGAGAAATTATATAAATAAAATATAAAGCTTTAATTTGCTTTTTTTTTTTCTAGTTTGCTTGGGCTTTTCAAAATATCCTGAAGCAAAGGCTTGTAAGGCTTCCAGAGAGCCAGCTCTTAAGTTCCATCTGCAGATCATTTAACCATTAACACCATTTAACACAGCTGGGCTGCATCTCCAGGAGCTGCACAGAGAAAAAGAGCAGCGGAGAGGGAAGGGCTGAGAAAGGAGAAAAAGGGCCCAGAGGAGTGGAGGGGGGCAGTGAGGGGTGGTGGAACAGAGCTGGGGAGGATGGAGGATGGAGGATGGAGGCGTCCTGGGGGTAGAGCAGCTCAGGAGGTTTTAGAGGCAGGGCTCCGTGTTGTCACAGCTGTTTGCCTGGCAGCAGGAGCAAATCTGATGCTTGGCCTCCATGTCTGCGTAGATGTGTGTAAAGATTTCAACCTGAGCCCTGTCCCTGCTCCAGGATAATGAGCCACCTCATCCTTACCCACGCACTGGAGCAGATGCAGGACTCAGCAAGGCGACTGATCTGCACAGCTGGGCTGAGATATGCAACAAAACAGAGCGTCCTTGCCTGCTGCTGTTCCCAAGGCATTTGGCTCATCTCTGCTGCGCTGCCAGTGGCCTGGAGAGCTGCTCCCAGCATCAGTCAAAGTTGTAGTAAAGGCAAAAGGCGAAGAACATAGCAAAGATCTGGAATGGAAGGAAGGGGGGGGGGGAACAGGTCAGCTGTGCCAGAGCAGCACCTTGGTGCAGAATGAGGCTGAAGGACCTCTGTGCTCTGCTCCTGGTGCAGCCAGACACCAGTGCCCTGCGAGGGGCTGCCCTGTGCTGCGCAGGGGAAACTGCTGAGCAATGCTTCTCCTCTCCAGGCCTTCAGGAGCAAAACAGAGCTCGCTCCCTCAGTCCTTCCACCCGCCTCACCCACACAGGGTGGCAGGTTGCCTTTGCACCCCTGAGACAGAGCTGCTCTGTGGGGGTGGGGGGGGCAGCCCAAACCCATCCGTGGTCCCAGAACACACAAAGCACCAGTCCTTCCCCTACCAGCAAACAGCACCCAAATGAGGCGACCCACCACCTGCCTCGTCCCCTCCAGCTCTGCTCAGTACCTCGATGCCCAGCACGGCCAAGCTGCACACCCCGGGGACAGAGATGTACTTCTGCAAGGTCTTGCTGAAGGTGGGGAAGCAGCCCTGGGCAGGAGGGGAGATGATGGAGGCATTCCTTGTGCTTCACAGGGCTGCAGGGAGCTCAGAGACAGAGCGAGGGACAGGGAGGTTGGGACAAGTCGGGGCATCACGGCGGGGCAGTGTGAGCTGGAGACCTGGGCAGTCACCTCTGCACAGAACCACAGCGCAGCAGCAGCGCCCCAGGCTCCAGGCAGCAGCTGCCCATGTAGCCCTACCTGCTCATGGATGTAGCCAGGGCTCCTTTCCTGGCACTGCTCCCAGCTCAGCAGCTCTCCTGCCTGCAGGAGCCCATCCCGGGCACAGCACGCCTGCGGCCAGGGCGTCCCAGGGTGCAGCTCCTGGAAGTGGGAGCCGTTCCCAAAATCTTCAGGTCCTAAAACGCCACAACAGGAGAACTGAAATGGAAGGGAAACACCGTCAACGCACCGTCGAAATGAAGGGACTTTGCTCAGTGGGGAAACAGCCCAGCGTGAGTCCTGTGGTCCTTAAGAACCACCCCCGTGGTCACGGTCACCCTGAGCAGCACCCATGGGTGTTCCACACCTCAGCAGGAGCCTCCTGGCCACTCACTGTCACCATGAGGGTATTCCAAGCCACGGAGAAGACCTCAGCGCCCTCATCCCCGCAGTAATTCCTTCGCAGCTCTAACAGGAAGAGCTCTGGCCGGATCTGTGGGACCAGTGCCACCTGTGAGCACCTGGGGTCAGGTACCAGGTATGGGGACAGGGACACCACACAGCCACCTCACCCACCCAGAGCCATCAGCTGCAGGGGACAGTACCTGCTTCCAGTGTGCCAGGAAGAGCACAGCCCCAACGAGCTGTGTGACAAAGACAAGGCTCACGAGGACGAAGAACTGGAAGGCAGCAGGACAGAAAGGTCAGAAATCATCCTCAGCCCACGTGCAGCTTGCTCCTGCTGCTCCTCCCCTCCTCTGCCACCATCCCTGCTCATGCACGGGGACAGGGGGACAGGAAATGAGCATGTGGTGCATGGGGACAGACACAGCATCTCTGAGCACTGCAGCTGTAAGGCAGAACATGACAGGGGCTGGGGAAGGCAAAGATATCTTTATAGCAAAGATACATCAAAGATGTCAAAGATATATCTAGATATATGGTGCCTGCACTCAAAAAAAGGGTTTCTGGCCCTCAAAACTGCAGGAAAAGGATCAGAAATGCCATGTGGGATGAGCCTACAGAAAGAGGGAAAAAAGAAAGAAAAGAGAGAGAAAAGAGAAGAAAAGAGTCCACCTGGTGCTTTACAGAATGTTCTAGGCTTTAAATTCCAAGTCTCAGAAGGTGGAGACTGGACTGGGGAGTTTGTTGGAGGCTGATGGTGCCAGGATGGGGACTCTGGTTCCTTTAGGGACATCCTGCATCCCACAGCTCCCTGTATCCCAGTTGCCCCTCACTCACCACCAGCAGCAGCGGCCGGCTCCGGCGCAGCGCCCCGCAGCAGCCCAGGAAGCCCAGCAGCGAGAGGGCGATGCCCACAGCCAGCAGCAGGTAGGCGCCCACACTCAGCACAGGCTTGGCAGCCACAATGTCCTGGAAACCAGCCGGGTCCACAGCCACCCAGACCCCCACGCTCACCAGGCAGATCCCCCCGGCCTGTGGGACACAGCAGGGTCACAGGGCACCTCGTGGGGACAGTGGTGGGGTCCCCTCCCTTGGACAGGGGCCACCCTGAGCATCACATCCCAGCTCTGCACGGATGGCACCGCTGGGCTTGACGGCTCAGTGCCCTGCACCCCTCCATCCCCAGCGGGACTCACAAACACCAGCACGTTGAAGATGAACATCAGGTACTTCATGCAGCTCAGGACACCCATGGGGACCTCAGGGCTCTGCAGGCAGTTGCGTTCGTCCCTGCAGAGGGGAGAGCTCAGCTCCAGCCCCCGTCAGCCCCAGGAGGACGAGCTGCTCCTCAGAATACTGCCACAGAAGGGATGGGGGGACCAGAACTGTCAGGGGAAGCTGGCTGCTGGCACACCTCCCTGTGCAGCTGGATCAGATGTGGGGTGTGACAAAGTGCTCCATCCATGGGGCAGCAGCCACAGGCAGCTGGGATGCACACGTGGAAGGGATTCTGCCCTTCCCCAGAGCCTGATGGGTCCCTGACCCCTATTGGGCTGCAGTGGGTGACATCCAGAGACCCAAAACCTACAGGCTGCCTCTGCCCCCAAAGCTTTCCCACGCTGTGCTCCCAAACCCCATCACTCACCCCACGGGGCACCCTGCGCACCTCCAACCGCCACCAGGGCCGTCCGCACCAGTTTAATGCCGGAGAGGTCGGAAAATCCCCCCGGTCTCAGCCCAGCAGCCGAGGAACCCCTTCCCACAGCAGGGCATGAATCATTGATGGGAACCGGATCCGGCAGCTGGGAGACTCCGGGGGTAATTAAAGCTGTCCTTGATGGACGGAAAGACGAGCCGGCGGCCACCGGGCAGGGGCAACCTGGGCATCAGTTATTGTTGCCCGAACACGGCAGGGAACGCCTCGACGCCTTTTGGAGCTCGGCCACGCGGCAGCCAGCAGTTCCACCATGCTGGGATGGACAGACAGCGGGACAAGAGACAGACGGACAAGGCCCGTCCGTGGATTCCCTCCAGGCCGTGTTGATGTGGTAACGGAGCGGCACTGCCACCATCGGAGGGACATCAGCGCTCACACCTCGCTCTCTGGATGCCCGCTGCTCTCCTCCGCGGCTCCCCGGTGCGCCCCCTCCTGCACGCGGCTCCCGGTTACCGCCGCCCCCGGTTTCCTCCATGCCTGCAGGGGCAGCCGAGCGCTCGGCTAACGAGATGGCGCCGCCGCGCTAGAGCGCCTTCCATCAGCTGGGCGGCTCGGCCAATCACAGCGGGCAGCCGTGTCGGAGCGGAGAGAGACGGGCAGCAGATTCGACCAATCATAGTGCGAGCGCATCGAGGCCCCAGTCGGGGTGGGGCTTAGAGGCCGGAAGCGGCCCGTTCCCTTAGCGTCGCTTCCGGTGCCGCCGCCGCCGCCCTGCGCGGGATGTAGCGGCCGGTGAGTGCGGGCGCTGCCTGCGGGACGGACACGGGGCGCGGTTCCGGCCCGGTTCCGCCGCTCTCAGCTCCGGTGTCGGCCCGAGCCCGGTGCCGTTGACTCTGCTCTTCCTCCCTCCCCAGCGCGGCGGCACAAGGACGCGGAGGGACCCCAGGAACGCCGCCGCCGCCATGGCGTCCCGGAAAGCCGCCGCCGCCGCGCAGGGCAACGGGCTGGCAGCCGCAGGGCGGGACAGAGCCCACCTGGAGCTGGCGGAGCTGGGGCCGCTGCTGGAGGAGAAGGGCGAGCAGGGAGCGGCCGGAACCGCCAGCGTAAGGCGCCCGGCACCGGGGGTCGGTCCGGAGTGGGCCCGGTGCTTCGGGGTTAACCAAAAGTTTGCCCGTTATCCCGGGGACGGGTGGAGCGGGGAGGGGCGGGTTGGGCGTGAGGAGAAATCGCGCCCGAACAGCGGCGATGCGTCGCCCGGCTGCACGGAGGAGTTGGGAAGCGCCGAGATGGGGCACTGCGGGGGGCTGCGGGTCCTTCCTGCCTTGAGGACTCCGTGGTTCTCTGATAACCGAACGGTGATCGGTCCTGTGCTCTGAGAGCTTGGCCCAAAAACGTGTTTTAGCTCTTATGCTGCCAGCTGAGCTGTGCTGCCCCTGCAGGGTGCGCTCAGCTCCCAAAGCTGCTAATGGCAACGGATGGGGGGACTGGGCCGGGCCATGTGCTCCGGGGGCACCCGGCTCCATGACAACCCGGCTGGGCCCAGGGGCTCTTCCAGCTTTGGTTGTAAGGATGAAAATCCCTCGTGGTAATCCCACCTTTAAACTAGGATCAGTCTGGGATTAGCCTGCCTGAGATGGTTGAGGCGGGAGCAAGTTGCATAAGTGGTGGTGACCGGTGGGTTCTGTCCGACCCCTCGGGAAGGGATGAAACCCCAGGTGCTCTGTGTGCCTGGAATGGTTGCAGTGCTGTGGGCAGGGTTGGTTCCCTCCGGTGTTTCTCCCTCTAGGCTGAAGACCCGCCGTGCCCAGTGGCCCGTGAGGAAGAGGAGGAGGTGGTTCGTGTGCTGACTCTGCCTCTGCAGGCTCATCACGCTATGGAGAAGATGGAAGAGTTTGTGTATAAGGTGTGGGAGCTTCCTGGGATCCCAGGGGGGAACTGGAGGCTGTGCTCAGCCCTGCTAGGCTTCAGGGGCAGCACCAGCATCGCTGTCTGGGCCTGGGAGCTCAAATGCTGCCGCTGGTTTGCTGGGTGCCTCTGCTCAGCACTTGTGCTCGTGGTCACCATGATTGGCAAATGCACGAGAGCCAGCACAGCTCTGTGGCCAGCCAGGCTTCCTGTTGTGTGACTAAAATGGAAGGGAATTCTGCAGTGCTGGGAGCGGACGCTCAGTGTGCTGAAGGGTTAAATGCCCTGAATTGTCTCCAGCTCCTTAGGGGATGTGGAAGTGCTCTGCAGGATGTGGGTGGTGTAAGGGATTCCACGCAGTGTTGCGAAAGCCAAAGTTCCTCTCCCAGAGGAGAGTTTCAGAGCCTTTCAGCCCTGGCCGTAGGCAAGACCCGCAGGTTTTGTTCTGTGTTCTCCCAGGGTGATTCATTCAAGCCTTTGGGCTGCCTCACTGCTGGTGCCACCAACACGAGTCGCTCTGTTGCAGGTGTGGGAAGGGCGCTGGCGTGTGATCCCCTACGATGTGCTGCCCGACTGGCTGAAGGACAACGATTACCTCCTGCACGGGCACCGACCTCCGATGCCGTCCTTCCGAGCCTGCTTCAAGAGCATCTTCCGAATACACACCGAGACGGGCAACATCTGGACTCACTTGTTAGGTGACCGGGGGGCTGCGGGGCTGCGCAGCGCTTCTGTAGGGCTGAGGTGTGCTCTGCCCCTGTGTTAAGGCAAGGGGCTGCCTCTGAAGGGCAGGTTTGCTCCAAGGGACTGACTTGACCTCCTCTCTGTGCCCACCGCCTTCCTTTTAGGATCATGTACCCCTCTGGCTCTGCACGTGTAGGCAGCTCAGTTGCTGGTGGCTGGGAGCTCCTGGGCCTCTGAGTGAAGGGAGAACAGGACAGCTCCTCGCAGCAGCACTGAGGCCTGAGCTCAGTGGTGTTCACGCTTTTCAAGAGCTGATGGCCCCATTGGATGGGCTCAGAGCGCAGGAGGGCCTTGGCCAGCATTCTGCAGAGTTCTGGCCTGCATGGACACTCAGAGGCTCAGGGTCTTCAAGAGCTGGCTGTGCTGTGGCCAGATTGCTCCCACTGCACAGCGTTTGAGCACTGTCAGCGAGCTGCTTCTGCTCCTGGGCTGGAGAAAGGTGTCCTGGGCCAAACAGCGTCCCGTAAAACCTTCCCTTGGGGGAAGCCTTGTGCCTTGCAGGGCACAGCCGTGCCTGGGATTCTGCTGGCTCTTTGCTGTACTAAGGAGGCATCGTGCTTGTAAGGGAGAGACCCCGAGGCACTGATTCTGCGGCAGCCATGCAGGCCTCTGTCTCTCTCGTGTCCCTTCTCACCTCCCCTGCGCTGCTGCCATTGAGCTCTGCCTGTGTCGGCGTTCATCCATCAGTCGATGCTGGCTGTGCCTCTGCCCAACAGCCCGTCTGTTGTGTTTTCTGCAGGTTTTGTGTTGTTCCTCTGCTTGGGAATCCTGACCATGCTGCGGCCCAACATGTACTTCATGGCCCCTCTCCAGGAGAAGGTTGTGTTCGGGATGTTCTTCCTCGGGGCGGTGCTGTGCCTCAGCTTCTCCTGGCTTTTCCACACTGTCTACTGTCACTCAGAGAAGGTCTCACGGACTTTTTCAAAGTGAGTCGGCACCGGGGTGGCTGTGTGGTCTCAGGATGTTCTGACTTCTCACGGCACTTCCTCTCCAATTCGCATTCACTGGGATTTTGTTCTTTGGGGAAGGGAGTGTTCATGCAGTGTGCAGCTCAGAAGCAGCAGGGTTTGGGTGCCATCCCTCAGCACCTTGCGTCTGGCAGCAGCTCTGAGGCCCTCAGGGAATGGGGTCTATAGGACTGGGACCCTGTGGGATCTCCCTAGAGAATGGCCTCAGTGCCTCTTGGAGCAGCACAGTGAGGAATGGTCCTGGTCTCACTGGGCAGCCGTGGGTTTTCCAGTTTACTGGGATGTTTTGAAAAACTCTGGGTTGGATCCAATTTGAACTGAAACCAAATTGAAAAGCAAAACAAACAGGATTCCTGGCAATGTGGAAACACTGGGCAGTGGCCAGTGCTCGTCTCTGAGGTCAGTGTTGCTCTTTAAGTTCACATCAGCCTTTATGGCACAGGGAGAGCAGCAGCAAGGCTTTCAAATGAGATCTTGCTCACAGAAGTCTATCAAAGGCTTTTACTTGGGTGCTGCTTGCTGGGAAATCCTGCCAATCTCCTATGCACAAACACCAGATCCCAAGGGCGCTTGTGTCTGGAACAAACTGTGCTGCCTGCCCTGAGCAGGAATGTCCTTGTGTACTGGGGAGGGTTCCTGCAAGGCTGCTGTGGCGGTGGGAAATGCAGCCGACTGCGTTTTGGTGGTGAAATTGTTCCTGGATCGATAGATTGAAAGCACTTTGCAGGGGAGGACAATCAAATCCATATGCACCAGGGCTAATGCCCACCGCTCGTAGTGGTGGTTTGAGTGTACAGCATCTCCGTGCTGCTCCTGCAGATCCAGCAAGCTGCTGTTCATTGCGCTCTGCCAGCTCTTTTTGCATCCTTGTAAGCCCCAGGTCCTTTCTCCTGTTTCTCATTGCACTGGTGACACCCGAATCTGTTGTCCAATGCAGTTTTTCTTGTGGGGTCGTGGCTGCTCGGTGGTGGTGGTGGTGACTCTGTTTGGGTGCAGGCAGTGGGATGGCACCAAATAGGATGCAGGAGGGGGCAGATTTGGGGCTCACCTGCGTGTATCTCTCCTTGCACCCTGGCTGCAGGTTGGATTATTCAGGAATTGCACTGCTGATCATGGGGAGCTTCGTCCCCTGGCTCTACTATTCGTTCTACTGCTCCCCGCAGCCAAGACTCATCTACCTCTCCATTGTCTGCGTCTTGGGCATCTCTGCCATCATTGTTGCTCAGTGGGACCGCTTTGCCACCCCCAAGCACCGGCAGACAAGAGCAGGTAGGAGCGCTCCGTGCTCATCTGAGTCCCCTGCTGCAGGGAGGAGCCGTGCTGGGGAGGCACCTGGTGCTGTGCTGAGGGATCCATGCTAAAGCAGGGCTCAGGTACTGCAAGGAGCTCCCAGCACCTGCAGCTTGCATTCCCCCGGAGCACTGTGCTGCTCTGGAGCAGGGAGGCCTCCTCTCTCCTCTTGCTGTGCTGCAGATTTGGATCCTGCACTGAGCAGGGCCGCCCTGAGCTCCTCTTGGCACCGAGCAAGGCTGAGGTTTGGAGCAGGCAGGCGGTGTTTAGAAATAGCCCTATAAGCAGTGGCTGGGCAGCCTGAGGCTGCGCCACACAGAGGCTCATTATCTGGGAAGTGGTTTGGCAGCGCCGAGCTGCAGCTCATCCAGAGAGGGACGGGTTCCCTCCTGGTCTCCAGCGCATGCTGCTGTGCCCCTGCTGTCCTGGAGGCTGCAGGGCAGGCCTCTGTGCCTGCACCCACATCAGCGCTGTGTCAACAAGGGGGCAGGGAACAGGGCTGAGCGCCAGCCCCACCATTACCTGCACAGCGTTGGTGTGGCTGTGCTGGCACAGACGGCAGCCGCCTGCTGAGGGACAGAGCTGCTTTGCTCTGCCTGCTGCTGCAGGGCCGCCCTCCTGCTGCCACGACGACCTGCA